CCTTCCTGAATCAAAGCTGAAAATTCACCACAGGAGTCCAAGGGAAGCAACACTATAAATTTAGCCACCGCACAAGCAGGTACTGTAGGAATAACTGCTGCTGCTGACCGGATGGTTAGGTATTCAGAGTTGCAATTCCCACATTGAGCACAACTTCCACCCTATTAGATCCAGGTTTTTTGCATCCCTAGTCTTGGGGGAAGGTCCCAGAAAACCCTGCCTCTCAGCAGCATCCCCTACTAGAGAGGCTAGGTGTGAGAGTGCAGATCTTCACAGCCCTTGGAGGGCACAAAGTTCTGCCATTCATTATGGTTGGCAGTAGGTGGCAGTGAGGCCGGGGTCTGCCCCAGTGTCTTAGTCATGTCCATAATTGTTAACATTAAGGCAATATGGGAAGGTCCCCAAGGGGCCAGATGTCCACCATAAGATCTGCATCATTCATGACATCCTTCGCTCTAATGATCAGACACTGGGCAACCCATGGTCCCATAAAGTTTGTTTACAGTCACCAGTCCTGACTTTCAGTGTTCTGTGCTGTTATTTAGCTCTGAATTCCTCCCTAGATGTCTTCTAAAAGCTCAGCAAGCAGTGGAAGTGTTGGTAATGCTGCAAGACAAAATTGACCTCCCGTGGTTCAGCAAATTCTCTGGTTCGGCACCAGTCAGGTCCCAAGGGTGCCAGAGTAGGGAGATTCACCATGTGCACTACTGTCATGCCTGGGGTCTGCCTTAAACACTAGGGCTGTGTCTACACTGGCATCCCTTCCGGAAAAGGGATGCTAATGTAGCACATCGGAATAGCAAAATCCGCGGGGGATTTAAATATCCCCCGCGGTATTTGCATTAACATGGCTGCCGCTTTTTTCCGGCTTGGAGATAAGCCGGAGAAAAGCGCCAGTCTAGACGTGATTTTCCGGAAAATAAGCCCTTTTCCGAAGGATCTCTTATTCCTACTTTGAAGTACTTTGAAGTAGGAATAAGAGATCCTCCGGAAAAGGGCTTATTTTCTGGAGAATCACGTCTAGACTGGCGCTTTTCTCCGGCTTATCTCCAAGCCGGAAAAAAGCGGCAACCATGTTAATGCAAATACCATGGGGGATATTTAAATCTCCCGCGGATTTTGCTATTCCGATGTGCTACATTAGCATCCCTTTTTCGGAAGGGATGCCAGTGTAGACACAGCCTAGGATTCTACACCCACTCCAATTTGTTTTGTGCCAACTTGGCCATGCAGTGCCCCAGTGGCTTTTTTGTGCAGAACACTGACAAAGAAAGCTCCATGACTCAGAACAGTGTAGCTAGAAGCTCATCCTTGTGTGCATACCAAAAGCTGTTGCTGAGTTTCTGCTTAATGCCAAACATGAATGGTCACTGTCTCCATGTGTCCCCACAGGCAGATCAGTGCCCAGGCAGCCAAAGCAAAAAAGTAAAGACACCCCTCTTCCCACAATGGCTTCGGTTCCAATTCCTTAGCACCAGCAGTTTTGGCACATTTATTCTATGCAGAGAACATCAGAGGACAATGAACATCAAAAGAGTGAAAAGCAGTTTTGAACCCAGCTCATGTTCTAATTATCAGAATAAAAAAATGCTGTTTAATATGGTTTAATCAAAATCTTCAAACTGGTGTTTGTTAATCCATGGTACCTTGGAAGTACAAGCATCCTCCAAAGTTTCTGCATATCAACCCAAAATGAAAATAAGGTTTTTGTAAGTGTGCAGTGCCCTATTCTGAATGTGATATTGGAAATGATGCTTGTACAGTACTAGAAACACCTCCTAACTGCTAGTATGCAACTTAAAACTAAATAACCAAAATGCTTAATAGCCTAAGGTGACAAGAATTACCCGCATGGAAATAAATCTACATGGACTTCAGTGCGCAGGTCCATAATAAGGTGCAGAATGTAAGAGCAGACAACTCAGCAGGTAAACAAGTCTATCTTCTTAGGCTGTGTCTAGACTGCAGGGTTTTTTCAAAAAGAGTAGGTTTTTTTTCGAAAAAACTTCCCCTGCATCTAGACTACAGCCGCATTCTTTCTAAATTAAATTGAAAGAACGCAGCTTTTCTTTCGACGGCGGTACTCCTCATTTCACGAGGCATAACGCCTTTTTTCAAAAGTGCTCCTTCGAAAAAAGGCGCTATGTCATGAAAACTGTGCTTTTTTGAAAGAGAGCATCTAGACTGCCTAGGTGCTCTCTTTCAAAAAAGCAGCTTGCTTTTTCGGAAGTACTGATTGTAGTCTAGATGCTCTTTTTCGAAAGAAGCTTTTTCGAAAAAGCCTCTTTCGAAAGAGGCTTGCAGTCTAGCTGTAGCCCTACTCTAAAAAGAATAAGCAAAGTCATTCATTGAGTTTACTTTTGCATTTATTTGGCTAAGTATTTGGTGCATATGAAATTTCATACAAATGTGCCAAATGCTATATTCTTTATGAATTTAGGACCAAACAAGGTAAGTTATTGTGTGCATCCTTCGTTTATTTTTTATAGATACTATTTCATACATTCCATTGACAGCTGCAAATTACTGGATGAAAATATCAAACAAATAAGAGAAGATGCCCATGTTCAGGCAAGAAAAAATACGGATTTTTTTTAATCAATATAAAAAGATTATTTTTAAATTTCAAAAGCTATTTCCCCCACTAAATGAAAGAAACTGAATTTCTCTATTTCAGGCAAGTGTTAGAAACACTGGATCAAAATTTTATCACATTGAAATTAACAGGAGTCTTGCCATTGACTGTAGTGAGGCCATAAAGAATAGAGAGGAGCATTTATTTACATATTCTGGGAAAGTAGGCAGCTCCATGAAATTTAAGATTAATTTTAAAATGTAAAACATGATCTATTTACCACTAAAATTGAATCGGCCACAATAAGTTAATTTACTTCCCTCAAAAGCCTAAACTCCTTTACATGGGTTGCCAAATTTAATTACCAGCGTTGTATATTTAAAAACAATTAGCAGAAAGTTTAAACATCAACTCCTAAGGAAATCAGCACTGCTTCAAACACTGGTAGCAAAAATATTTAATTCCAATAACCACAAAACTTTCAAAATCCCTAATTATTTAACATTATTTAAAAAAAGGCTACAATGTGAGAATTTGTAAACAGGTGCAAACTAATGACTACTTCTCATATCTATATGTAGAGTAACTTGAATGGACACATCAATTGTAAATGTTGGATATCACAAGAAAGCTAGATAATCTGTGACAAGAAAATATGTAATTTATCACTTTGCTGACTGACATGTTTTTATTTTCCCTTTCCTCATACTTAGAATACCATGTCACACTGAGGTGTTTATGGTACATGTTTCTTTTTAAAAGTAGCCTGCCATGCAGTCACTTACCAAACCATCATTAAATGAAATTCTTGTTATCTTTAACTGAATGAGTAATTTTCTTATACGGACAGTAACTCACACTAGTTTATCATTCTAATGATCAAATACCCTTGGGCAACAGGCTGAGGGATGAGGAATTAGGTAAACGCAGATTCGAGCTATTTTTGTATGACTACAAAGATTAATCTACAAATCATTTCTGAATACAACTGTTGTAATGGAAATGTCAACAAATTTTCAACACCATTTTCCCCCAAATAAAGCACAGTGATGATTAGAGTAGAGCAAATAAATCACAATGAATAATTTATTAAACAATTTTGTCTCGTCCCCCATTTACAAATTATTCAGACACAGATCAGGACATTCTGTCATTTGTACATTACTCAAAATTATTCACAAATTTCAGCAAACACTTTGTGGTCTGCACTGTGCACAGCAATGGCTAGTTACTCTAGCCACTTGGTATGGTATTTTGTTCCCAGACTGATTATTTATACTAATCATTCAGCAGGTTGAATTATTAGAACAATACACATGACCATACAATCAAAATAGGATTTTTAGTGGAAATTTGAGTTCTGCGACCTAGAATTTGCTTGTCTCACGTATTTGCATTGCGAAAGCTTGAACATTCATATGCTTGGAAAAAAGAACATAGAGGTTTTTGTGCATTGATTCCTAGCAAATCAATTTTCATTTTGGAAATAAAATGACTATTTTGAGAATTTTTTTATTACGCACATAGTGCTGCTGTTGATTTATACATTATGAATAATTGCAACACCTCTTATTTAAGGAGTTTATTTTGAAAAGTTGGCAGCCATTTAGATTAACTGCATACACATACACCAATGGATACTTAATGGCACTGTTACATTTGGAAGTACTGTACTCAATTTCACCTCCAATGGCTAACCCAATCAACTGAATCACATTTTATCTTTTTGCTGATACAGTATAAAGAATGGAAGGTCCTTTCAATATCACAAATAATATATTCATTTTTTCTCCTAATGTGAGGTATACTTTTTGTATTTGAATACAAAGCTATCATTTTAAGGCATGGAGTGTGTAACAAGCAGAAATTATTTAAGAAAACAAACCCTATACTTCTGGAAAAGTATATTTATTGTAAGCAAAGAGATTTTTTTTGGTTATTTATCAAAATACATCAATCAATGATTAGGCTTTACTTTTGCCAGCTGACTTTAGGACATGAAAAATGACCTGAAATGTTTTTCCAACCCCTAACCCCCCCTCAAAATAGCAAAAAGTATTTGTTGGATTAGGGAAAAACCTTATAGCTAGGCATCAGTAATGATTGACTATGCATTGTTCACAAATCCATCAGCTACATTACTTTGGAAAAAAAAAACCCAGGAAATTTGTGGAATTAAATGCTAATTAACATATGTCTTAATCCAGAAATTCGCTAATTGAGAAGTCACTGATTTTGGTGCCCTGTCTATACGTCAGATAGGCGAGTTCAGCAGTACTGATGACCGCTTTCAGGAACCCTAACAATTTCCTCTGAAACAAGAATGTGAATATCACTTTTGTGAATATCAGACACTGCAGGCAAATATCTTCAAAGTGTCATTTGTTTTCCACACTAGCCACTGCTTTCTTTGCGGCATCCTCAAGGTCCCTTGCAGAGGTGATTGGTAACCCACTTTCATTCAGAATGCGCTGGGCCTCATGAACATTCGTTCCTAGAACGGAAATTGAAAAGGTGAGCTAAGGAATACATGCTGTGAATGGTTTTTATTAACCCTTCGTCCATCTGGTTTAATGCATTAATTAAGAGTTCATTTCATTTTAAAGAGAGGGAAGCCAACTAGAGGTCCGAGCCTAGGAACTCTGAAAATCTAATTCCATCTCCTGACAGTGTTCTCAAATAAGTGTTCTCCTCTGTGTTCTCAAATAAGCCACTCTCTGACAATCACAGGAGTGATGTGAGGGCCCAGTGGCCAAGCCAACGTCCACTAAGTCTATGGAAAGATGCCCACTGATAATGGACCATGCTTTATTCTGTTAATATGTGTAAAACACTTTGACGATTAAAAGCACCGGACATAAATTAGCTGGATTATTTAATAAATAACAACTCTACTACGGTTATTAATGATAACTCCAAAAGCCTCCTGTGCTGGCATCAAAAGACAAATTATTATTGTTATTATTTTTAAGAAGCTTGAGGTTTTTGAGCTATCCTGAGCATTTTACTGTTTGGGAGTAGCTGATGCAGGCACCCCAGGTATTCCAACCCTCTGCCCATAAAGCACTTCTGCACCTCTGCCTAAAGTCCCGGAGGGTAATGATGATGGAAGAGTATTCATCTGTAAATAATTCAGAGAATGAGCATAACATTATACTTTGTTCCCTGAAAGACATCAAATGCTGTAATATTATTTGCAAGACTATATAACTATTCAGCTTATGTGCTCTGTAGACAAACACTTCAAGAATACTCAACAGAGCACTCACATAGTCATGAATAAAAGGCTATAAATTAAGAGAGACATTTCAGGGAAATGCATATTTCACACTGTCAAACTCCTATAAAAGGCAAATGCATTGTTAAATGAGACCAGATTAATGAAAAGCGATGACTGATTGTCATTGAAGCTCTTCGTTTATTAATACTGCACAGGGACAGGTCCTTTGAAATGTTCTGGCACAGTGATCATATGTACTTAGTGTTTCCCCAGAAGTCTCTGTCCTGGTTTGATGCAATGCATTTGGCACCCTCTGGAAACACCAAACTGAAAATGATGGCAGTTTTGACTTGCATGTCATGATGTGTGAGACAAAGGATTTAAGAAGTTATAGGCAGATGTTCTTTCCCTTAACCCTTTCCAAGGATTTACTAAAGGGAGATGGTGACTCATGCAAGATAAGCCTCCAGGTAACTGAGACCCCAAAAGGGAATATTGTTAAGAACTAGGCAAACAGTTCACAATCCTCAGTGTGTTTGATAATGTTCAGTTCATTCACTTACTTTAAACAAGCTCTATTTTTTTACTACGCTGTTCTCTATACGTAAAACAACACTCGGGCATTAGAGAAACCTGGGAAACGAACAGTGAATTTACTGAACATGATATTCATACGCAAAACCCGTATCTGACTATGAACTCCCTTTGCCCAATATGGTAAAAGTATGCTGAACAAAATGGGACAAATTTGACCCTGAGGCTCAGATGTGTCAGGGATGGGGGCCACAGAATTCCCTCGACATATGGATTAAACAGATCCTGCAATTCATGAGACTATGAGCCTAAAGCTAAACTTCCTGAGTTATTGATGTTGTTGCTCCGATTCCAAAGTGTATGTCTTGACCCTCAAAAACCTTATGCTTCTATAACCACAGGCGCGCATCCCTCGAGAGCCTTGGTCACTAGAGAACAATATGGAGTGCTCACTCTTCTCTGGAACTGAGAAACTCTTTCTTATAACCCTTGAGCTGTTGGAGGAACACTTGTCTATAGTCACGTGAACTAAGGCTGTTAAGTGACTAGGTAAAAGAATTATTTCAATTTTGCCAGCTATAAAGTCCTAATAGAATCACTTTACTGAACTGTGCTTAGTAGGGACAACGTTGACTTTAACCTTAAAGATTCAACGTTTTCACAGTTCTAACACCTAGTAAAATCTCTCACTCTGAACAGTGGAAATGTCAGTCAACAGCGTTTACCGAACTAGTCAAATACGAAATAACAAAAAATTCAGGGGCATAGAAATGAGTAATTTCTTGTAAATGCCATGTGCCAGTACTTAAGTTTGTTTACATTGTAATAGTAACTTTCAATATTCCCCATAATTTATCCTCCAACTCTCTTCTCTTACATCAATAATCCCTTTCAGTTTGGAAGGCAAAGAAAATTCAGAGATGTATGTACAGCCAGTCCCCGAGGTACGAACAAGTTACAGACCAAACACTTGGCTGTAACTCAAAATGTTCGCAACTTGGATCCCATTGAGTTACATGGTGACCGTGCTGTTCATAAGCGCGGATCGCATTCATAATTCGGGGACTGCATTTACGACTACTTTGTTCGTAAGTGCGGATGGTCGTAAGTGGAGGTGGTCATAAGTCGGAGACCAGCTGTATATCACACTGATGCACTGGGCCTATTTCTTTAGCATCGCTGATTCGACATATTGCCCAAATGGTGCAAATCCACAGAAGCCTAGTTGTACCAACTTTACTGTACGGCAATGAAAGTGGGTGCTAGGGAAGGCCGAAGAGTGGCGGGTGGACGGACGCTTTGGATTCTCCCGGTCTGCGTCAGTTGCTCCAAATTAATGAGCAGAATGAGTTCAGAAATGGATATTCGTAGCTAAACCCAGCAACTGCCTCCACCGGCACTGGTCCAGTTTCAGGGGCTTCTGTAGAATGGGCCTATTGTGAGGCTGGAAGACCAACAAGTTACGAAGCATGTTCATCAAGGAATGCTGCTGCACATTTGACAATCACAAGCTTTGGTGGTGAGATGAGACCGCCACTGGTCCATGGCCACAGACACAATCTGCAAGAGACAATGACCCTTTGGGATTTGCCTGGATGATAATGACTTGGATGTGCATCACTATTCAGACAAATCCCCCAAGATGCATCCCCAAAGCCAAGATAGTAAGAACGAAGAGATATAGAATATCTGGTGTGAAGTCCTCCTCACCAGTCTAAACCCTGTACACCAAGTAAATGCCAGAGCAACATAAAAAGGCTCAAAAATTCCCAGCTCCATCTGAGGCAAGATCCCCTTGGCACTGGATCTGAGGAAGTTGGCTGTAAGGTCGCCTACAAAATATCCCGACAATCCTTGATGTAGGGCAATACATGGGCGGCAGGACACACTGGGTCTGGCTATGTTGCAGCCTACAATTTGGTGCAGATAGGCTAATATAGCTCCCAGGCCTGTCTATGTTACACCGGGGGTCTCTCCAGCCCCCAAAGCAGCTCAAGATTGGGAGGATGCGTTGTTACGCCGGGGGCCTCTCCAGCCCCCAAAGCAGCTCAAGATTAGGAGGATGCAAAATTCACTTAAAGCCACGATAGCCTCTGTGAGCTTTAGGATGAGAATCAAATGCATCTGTGGCATGCATCTCTGGTCTCTAAACATCAATGAGATAGTATTGTTGTTGCAAGCCAAACATTACTGAATACCGATGGAGTGTCATCCTTTTCAAGAACAGACAATACAGTATTGGGCACTTAGATATGATAGAGTTTGAAATAATCGATAGAGTTCTGTCCAAAACTATACAATGAGAATCTAGTGGATTCCTTTAAAGAGAAGTTCAACACTATGTAACTAAAACTGCACCCACCCATTCCCCCTTCCTCACCCTTCTTGCTTCCTCTCTTACTTCTGCCAGACACTGCCCTCAAACTGCCTTTTATGTCTCCCATCATCTTACTCCTTCAAGGCAAGCTTCCTTGAAGCTATTTCCTCTTAGCTCCTAACCTCACTCACCCTCTCCTTCATATTGCACTTCCCTTTCTCTTTTTCCACACTCCACTTAGCTCCTCCAGCTCCCAACTACGTCATGATCTCTCCAAACATCAGAATCCTTCCCTTTCCAGCTGCTGGCCCAAGCTACACAGAAAGAAGCTGCAAAGCAGCAACCTGAGAGCCAAACTCTGCTGTGTCCACTTTCCTATTTAATTGGCTCAGCTATCTTTCTTTTAAGACAGTGCAGAGGCCTCTACTCTGTTGACCCCTTTGTTTTTGGCTTATTTAGTAGACTATTCTTAAGAGTACCACACAAAGGCAATCCTACAAAAAGCCAGCACAATTTCCCTTTGCCACTGGAATGTAATTAATGTCTTCTCAATATTTAACAATCGATGCTGCTTCAGCCTTTTAATCAATGCTAATCCTAAATGCTAGCACAAGGATGCTAGCCCATGAAAGTGTATTGCACACCACTCATGAATATGCCAGGAGAATGCTGTAGAACCCTAAGATAAACTCTAAGCAGACTGTCTCAGGGAAAAGGTAATTTTTCAAGAAACAGGCTGATTTTTTAAAATTTCAAAATTAAATGATCCTGCCATCGTTCTGGGTGCACTAACATTGTAGGGTTTCAAATCCTTTTTTTGGATCATCTTTTTCCTTTCCTGATTCTTTTTAATCCCAGCTCCCCACCCTTTTTCAGGCACAGAGATACACTAACAAAGGTTAATGGTGAAGGCTTCGGACTCTTCCAAAACAAGAGTCATTCAGATTCCTCATTGTTTATCATCCTTTCATTTAGGTTTCATTTAGGAAAAGAGAGCAGGGAAGAGAAAGCTGGACTCTTTTTTTCAAACAAAGCTAAGTGACAATTCTGGAAGTCTATCCACTAAGCAACACACAAGGATCCCTAGCCAGGTTATTGTGGCCGCATTGTTGCAATTCACATTACGGACTAATTTTTCCATCCATGTGCAGGATACATTTTGTTCTGTGCGCTAAGGCATGTGCAGATGTGCACCACCAGTAGGAACACATGCTGCCAGCTGTGGGAACTCTGCTAACTAGCTTGGCGGCATCTGAATCTCTCCTGGGCAACCACCCAAGAACCCAGCTTAGGGAACACTGCTAGGGACTGCATCATTAGCTGCCAGCATAAGGACCTGAACTGATCCTCTTTAAGGACAGATCCATTAACTCTCCCCACACCAAATTCCTCATTCATATGCTGCATCAAAGTGTTTAATTAC